CGAAAAGAATTCAACTTCAAAGGTCATCTAAAAGATATATGATGATTGTCATATGCAACCTTCTCTCGTAGAATGTTTAGATAAATGTGTTATTTGTTAGGTATCAGACTAGCACAAGAACTCAACTAAAATAGAGAAGAGAAAAATAGAATAGCAATAATGGACAAAAGTAGAAATTTTATAATAGCAAGGAAAGATTACACACCCCTTCTCTAGTCCTAAAATTGACAACACTTTCTAATACTAGAGAAGGAAAGGAATTTTTTTGGGATGTATAGAATGGGGGGTATGTGGTTTCTTATATAACCACTCACCCATACCCCCTTTGAAGTACCCACAGATGTGGGACTTTGTTCTCACAATCTCCCACTTGAAGATTTTGATGAAATTAATCAAATCTTCACACCATGATTATCTTTTCCATCTATGCTGCTTATGCTTTCAATAGGCCATAACAGGATCGACTTAGTATAAACTTGTCAGCATTTACTGGTTTTGTCAAGGCATCTGCTAGGTTATCTTTGGTATGAATCTTCTGCATATCCACACTCCCTTCCTCTACTACTTCTCTGACAAAATGATATTGTACTCCTATGTGTTTTGTTCTGGAATGAAAAGCTGGATTCCTTGCAATGTGCAAGGCACTCTGACTGTCACAATACACATTGATCTTCTGTTGCTTGTGTCCGAGTTCTCCCAATAACCTTTGAATCCAAATTGCTTCCTTGCATGCCTGGGTAGCTGCCATGTACTCCGCCTCTGTAGTAGATAAGGCTACAACAGTCTGCAGTTTAGATAGCCAACTTACCGCTCCACTTGCAAGTGTAAACACATATCCTGTAGTAGATTTTCTTTTATCAAGATCACCTGCAAAATCTGAATCAACATATCCTCTGACAATAAACTCTGATCCTTCAAAACATAATGCAGCATTAGAGGTTCCTTTAATGTATCTTAGGATTCTTTTCACAGCATTCCAGTGCTCTCTACCAGGATTTGCCATAAATCGACTAACCGTCCCAACTGCTTGTGCAATATCTGGTCTCGTACAAATCATAGCATACATAAGACTTCCCACCGTCGATGCATACGGCACTCGAGACATTTCCATCCTTTCTGCTTCATTGCTAGGACACATATTTGAGGATAATTTGTAATTGATAGGCAATGGGGTAGAGATTGGCTTACAATCTTGCATGTTGAAGCGCCGCAAGATTTTCTTAAGATAATTCTTTTGAGAGAGCCAAATCTTCCTATCCTTTTTGTCTCGGTGAATTTGCATCCCTAAAATCTTGTTTGCGAGTCCCAAGTCCTTCATATCAAATTTCCTAGCCAACTGTGCCTTCAATTCTTGGACTCGATCTTTGTTGGGGCCTACCACCAACATGTCATCCACATACAACAACAAAATGATGAAATCATTATCATTAAACCTCTTGTAATACGTACAATGGTCTGAACTCAGTCTGTTGTATCTGAGGCTAATAATGAAGGAATCAAATCTCTTGTACCAACACCTTGGCGCCTGCTTTAAACCGTACAAAGATTTGGTCAACCTACAAACCAAGTTTTCTTTTCCTTGTTCTTCAAAGCCTTCTGGTTGGAGCATATAAATTTCTTCTTCAAGTTCTCCATGAAGAAAAGCAGTCTTTACATCCAATTGTTCAAGATGTAAGTCAAATGCAGCACACATAGCCAACACTACTCTGATAGTGGTAAGTCTAACCACTGGAGAGAATATCTCATTGAAATCAATGCCTTCCTTTTGAGCATACCCTTTTACTACCAGTCTTGCACGATATCGTTCCACTTGATCATTACCATCACGTTTGATCTTATAAACCCATTTGTTGTCGATGGCTTTTCGACCTTGTGGAAGTGCAACAAGCTCCCATGTCTTGTTTTTGTGTAAGGCTTCTATTTCTTCTTGCATTGCTGCCATCCACAGAGAAGCATCTGAACTACTCACAGCCTCCTGAAAGGTTGACAGTTCTCCCTCTTTTGTTAGAAGACAATATGCATCATGACTTGCCATTACATAGTCTGAGTGCCAAGATGGTCTCCTTATCTGACGTGTTATTCGTCGAACTTCTGTGTCATTGGCCTCTTCTGGTTCTTGCTCCTCATGCTCTGGTTCTGCTTCTAAAGAATCTTCTTCTCCAGACTTTCCATCTATTTGTACAGTAGTTACATCTTTAGAAGTGCTGTCATTTATTTGTTCATTTTGCATTTCATTCTCTGCAAAAATTGCGTCTCTGCTGACAATAACCTTGCGGGCAGTGGGATCCCACAGGCGATACCCCTTAACTCCGTCAGCATAGCCCAAGAATATGCATTTTCTGGATTTTGGATCCAACTTTGTTCTTTCTTGGGAGTTGTACATTACGTACACAGGACATCCAAACACATGTAAAGAAGAGTACTCTGCTGGCTTTCCTTTCCACATTTCCATAGGTGTCTTTAAACCAATCACGGTTGATGGAGATCGATTTATCACGTAACAAGTCTGTCTTCACCGCTTCGCCCAAAAAGACTTGGCTAATCTTGTCGTTCGCAAGATAGCTCTAGTCCTCTCTAGGAGAGTTCTATTCATCCGCTCTGCTACAACATTTTGCTGAGGTGTATGAGCAACCGTGAACTGTCTCCTTATACCCTCCTGCTTGCAGAATGCCAGAAACTCACCATCTGTATATTCTCCTCCATTGTCTGTCCTTAAGCACTTGATCTTCTTTCCAGTTTCAAGCTCCACTTGTGCTTTGAATTCCTTGAAAACTGGAAACACATCTGACTTTTTCTTGATTGGGTACACCCACAATCTCCTAGAGTAATCATCAATAAATGATACAAAATATTTAGCTCCTCCTAGGGACATTTCCGGTGACTCCCACACATCAGAATGTATCAAGTCAAGTATGTGTTTGCTTCTAGTAGTTGACTTTTCAAATTTCAATCTATGTTGTTTGCTTGTCACACAGTGCTCACAGAAAGGTAAGTTTACCGATGTGAGCCCGGGTAAGAGTTTACGTTCCGCAAGGACCTTCAAGCCTCGTTCTGACATATGGCCTAGTCTGCGATGCCACATTGTCGTTGATTCCTCTTGACTAGCTGATGCAACTGATACATCTGCCTCTTGCAACGTATCTCCCAGAAGCATGTATAGGTTTGCAGCAAACTTCTCTGCTTTCATCACTACTAGAGCACCTTTCACTACTTTCAAGATCCCACCTTCAATATGGGTCTTGCAACCGAGGTCATCCAATTGTCCAATAGACAATAAATTCTTTCTCAAACCCTTCACATGTCGTACCCCTTGAATTGTACGAATAGTCCCATTGTACATCTTCAATTTGACAGTACCGATTCCAGCAATTTCCAAGGCGTGATCATTACCCATGAACACAGATCCCTCTGAGATAGGTTTATAAGTGCAAAACCAATCTCTTCGTGAAGTCATGTGCCATGTTGCTCCTGAATCTATTATCCAAACATCAGTGAGTTGTTTTTCACCTTTGGAACCAATAGCTGCTTCGCTATACAGGATTTCTCCATCATCAGAGGTACTGGCAACACATCCTTGAGATGTAGTTGCCTCAGAAGACTTCTCTGCATTTTTCTTCTTCCAACAATCTTTCTTCAAGTGCCCTCTCATGCCACAATAGTAGCATTTGAAATTCTTCCTTCCTCGAGATTTTGATCTACCATGGTTTTGACTCCCACTGGAGCCACGCTCTGTTGATCTTCCTCTCATCATCGTCAAAGCCTCTGCTTGCTTGGAATTTTCCAATCTATCTACTTTATTCTTGCGTCTGGATTCTTCTTCTAGAGTAGCTCCGGCAACATCCTCAAAGCGTAGATTTCCTTCCATATTAGTATTTGTTATGTTGATGATGAGTTGATCGTATGAGTCTGGTAGACTCTGAAGTAGAAGTTCCGCACGTTCATTTTCAACTATGTTGAAATCTGCTGCTGATAGTTGGGCAAATAAGGTGTTCAGATGATTAATGTGGTCCGTCATCGATGTGGACTCACTCATCCGAAGAGTGTAGAGTTTCCGCTTCAAGAATATCCTTGTGTGAAGAGACTTCACCTCATATAATTTGATGAGGGCATCCCAAATCTCCTTTGCTGTATTCTTTTCCGCAACACTGGATAGTACGGAATCTGCCATTGCTAAATGCAAATTTGCTATAGCATTTCCGTCAATTTCCTTCCACTTCTGATCCGTCATTTCTGCGGGTCTTCCTTCAATTGCATCAAGGCAATTGTCCTTTCTCAAAATTGCCTTCATCTTCAATTTCCATAATGAGAAATTGTTCCCGTTGAACTTCTCTATCTCATACTTTGCTGCCATAGTTGTGTTTCCACTTATGCAACTCTCACTTATGAATAGTATTGTCTACTGGAACAATAGTAGTAGACCGTGAACCAATACACTAGGTAAGTTCCCAGGAAAGAGAGGTGAGTCACTAATGGACACACTTAAGTACCAAGTCTTTCCTAGCCAGAACTTCCCCAGACAACAGTTTCACACTACTACACCTTTTCCAGTAACAACTCTTTTCTGATGTGGAAGATCAGATTAAACCGCAACCACAGAGCATACTCAGAATTTTACCAACACTATTCTAGTGACTAGCGCAACGGAATAAGAACGTGGCTCTGATACCACTGTTAGGTATCAAACTAGCACAAGAACTCAACTAAAATAGAGAAGAGAAAAATAGAATAGCAATAATGGACAAAAGTAGAAATTTTATAATAGCAAGGAAAGATTACACACCCCTTCTCTAGTCCTAAAATTGACAACACTTTCTAATACTAGAGAAGGAAAGGAATTTTTTTTGGGATGTATAGAATGGGGGGTATGTGGTTTCTTATATAACCACTCACCCATACCCCCTTTGAAGTACCCACAGATGTGGGACTTTGTTCTCACATTATTTACAATAAAGATTAGGAGAAATTTGCCGCACTATTATATGATCAGTTGAGACTAAAACATGTTCCTCATCAAGTTAAATAGGTAATTTTTCAACAATCAAAATAAAAATAAAATACAACATTTACTTGTAACTTTCTATTCAACATCTATCTATATATATATATATATATATATATATATATATATATATATATATATATATATATATATATATATATATATATATAAAAGTAAGTTATTACCACAAATGTAATTAATTATTATAATATTATTTATATTTGAGTGAACTTAAATCAATTCAACCTATTATCTAACAAAATAATCAATTAATATATACATTTGCTATAAATCATTCATTGTGCGAATATCTCTTTTAAAAAAAATAGTTTTATATGTGAAATTATTGAGGAGTAATGTGATTTTTAAAAGAAGATTATATAACTTTTAATCAAATATAAAAATAGTTTCTCATAAAAATGTTAAGGAATAAACAAAATAATTAAGATAAGTATATAAATTAATATTCATTTTGCAACTATTAAGTAATATCTTCCCTTAATATTTGTTATACTACTTATATTATTATTCTTTGTAAGAATATAGTTGTTTGTATATTCAAGAAATTTATGCATTTGTAGGTGGTATTTGCATGTGGAAAATTGTTTGTAATCAGATTGTTAAATAGAAAATTCTCAAATACAAACAAATTGTTTAAGAATGTATGCATGAATCAAGTTTTGATCAAATCATAAAAATAATAATTGTGTTTAATATTTTTCTTTCTCTCTAATATATATTATCATCATATTGTTATTTTTTAATTGAATATTTTTAACTATCATGAATATCTTATTCATTAGTATATATTATTTATCAACAAATTTACTTATTAATAAAAAGGTATGGTCAAATTAATACATGACAGAAAATCTAACAAAGTGAAACAAATTTCAAAAGAAATTTTGGTGATCCAATTCACTTTTCTTTGATGCAACCTTTTCTTTGTTCCTGTAAAACTTCCCATATTAATCATTGTTTTAAAAATGAAATTAAACTAGTGAAATTAATCGATCTATTATTCTTAAATAAAATATTGAATTAATATAAAATAAAAAAATAATACAAAATCGAAGAAAAAAATAATTAGTTAATAAAAAATATATATAATTATTTTTAAAAAATATAATTTTTTCATTTTTTTTAAACGTTAACTTTAAAGAATGATTCATTTGTTTTGATTTTATTTTGTTTTATCATCTTTCATTCTCTATTCGATTTTATAATATTTTTATTATATATATTTATTATATTTTTAAATAATGATATAATGTTTTTATTTTTAATAAATTTATTATATATTTATTTTATTATAATCTTATTTTATTAATTTCTATTAAATATTTATAGAATCGAATTAAATTTTTAAATCTTAAATCTATCTCTTCGTTGTTAAGGTAGTGATAGTAGGTCAGAAACATTTTTATTAAAAACATGAAGAGGGGAGAGCTAGGTTGTGAGTTAGTGTTCTCTTAGATTAAAACATATTTGAGTGTAAATTTAACTACTGTGAATGTAAATACTTATATATTATCAACGGATTAAAAATTAATTTATAATTACTGTTAAAGTAATTATTAAAAATTATTTTTTTAAGTTATATGATAATATGTTATACTGTAAACAACCTATTATAATTAAATTTAATGTGATATAAATCATTAAAGAATAAAGTATAATAATTTGATGTATTTACTGATAATAATAAAATTAAATTTCACCCCTATATTTTAAAAACGGATAAATGTTGTTCATTTTGTCCAGTGGACAATAATTTAGTTAGCAAATATGGACACCGTGTTCCATCTTAGAATTCAAGCATTTTAACAAATGACACATTGACATTACTTCAATTTTTAAAATTAAGAAATCAAATTGATCTTTTCAATAATAAAAAATTGAAATAAAATAAATAAATAAAATATGAATTTTATTATTTAAAATAAAAAACTGTAATTTAAGTATCTATTAAAAGAAAGAAATTATAATTCAAATATAAAAAAAATAATTAGAGCAGATTAAAAAATGCATTACTCTTCGTATAATGGGCTTTGGGCTTCCTCTCCACTTTGGATGTTATTGTAAACTACTTTTCCGCCTGCACCCTATAATTGTTTCCCGCACCCCAAAATTTCAATTTACCTACATCATTTTTCGTAGTGTTGCATGAAAAAAAAAGTAGTTTTTAGAATGGAGGTTCCAGAATAAACATTCTGAAAAATAGTAAAAGCATTGATTGAATAGTCCACAATTATTTTTTATCTATAAAAAAACTATTCATTCTATAATATCATATGATCATTAAAATGCATTATCTTCAACATATCATTGATGCAAGAATTCAATATCCTTTCTTTGTTGCTCTACATCAATTCTTTCTCTCACCCAACCAGGGTTTCACCCATAACTTGCCAACAAAAAAACCTCTTCGGTACAGGTATCAACAACCAATCTCTTCATAAGATTTTGAAAACAAGTTTTAATTTGAGGAAGGATAGCAACCAATTTGAAGCAAATTAAAAGGTAATGAATTTGTACTACAATACCTTGACCTCATTATATATATATATAAAAAAACAATATTTAAATGATGAGAAAATATGAAATTTTTTTAAAATATTCATTTTTAAGTAGTTTAAAATTCTAATAATTAAATTACTTTTATAAATTTATAAAATTTCAATTTCTTAGTCAAACAAAGTATGTTAATTAAAATGTACAAAGTAATTCAAAATATAAAAACCTTCGCATAGGAAAATATATTTCCATATAAATACACAATTATCATAATTAAAAACAATATACAAAACATATAGGAAAATATATTTCCATATAAATACACAATTATCATAATTAAAAACAATATACAAAACATATAGGGTAAGATTATCATAGTTAAAAACAATATACAAATTATACATGATAAACTAGTAATTCAACTTAAGTATGCAAAATTCAAATGTAAGATAAAACAACATAATTTAACTTCAAATTTTCATATATCATGTCACATACCTATCCAGACTCACATTCATGTCACACAGACACTAGACAACTTTCGGAAGACTAGAGATTAAAATAGACATCAGAGATTTGGATTTGTCATACCATAACTCTTCCAAGATACTCAGTTTGGTATATACACGTGTGAGCAAGGTAAATTTCTAAAAAACTAATCAAGACACAATTCTTTTTCACACCGCAGGCTAAATCATTTGAAACCTCTTTTAACTCTTACCACCCGATCTTTTCATTTATGTAATTCCAGTTAAGTAGAGTCAGTATATCTCCTCGAGTCCCAAATCATCAATATTTATACATACAACACTACACACATGAGAATACCCCTAGGTAATTCTCATATCACAACATAACATTTTTCAAGGCACATAATAAAATTTCAATACATCTCATTTCATATTCATAACATGTATTTTAATAACTTAAGGTATATACACAACATTTCTCATATTATAACAAAATATAATTTGTGTTTCTAATTGACCTATGCTTATTCTTTTGATCATAACTTTTTCTCTATTTAACTAATTTTTATTTTATTAAATTTCTTACTTCTAAGGTTTCAATTTACATATATGAAACATTAAATTTGGAGTTTATTATTATTTTTTATGATTTTTTGAAAACTCGTTGAGTAAATCTGAAAACGCTGAGTGAAATTGAAAGAGTTGAACGAATTTTAAATCATTGAGCGAAATTTTGATAGAATGAACCTCAAACATGATTTTAAATCTGCAAGATGAATCTGAAAGCGCTAAGCAAATTTCAAGCATTTTCAACATTGTCTTAAATTCATTTAGCGAATTTAAATCCGTTGGACAAATTCGTGATAGTAGCAAACTGCATAGTCTGTTCAATACCCTATTTATAATATTACAAATCAAATTAATTATAAACTTTAGTCTCCATATTGTAAATTAATTTACTAAATTCAATCTAAGAACAATACATTTATACAAAAGACAATCTTTTTTAATCTCATATAAATCAATTATACATTCATGTTCACATTCCATACAATCAACATATACATAATCACATAACCCAAATTCCTACAACTCAAGCAATGTGACTAAGGCACATTCACAATCCTGATCTTCTAGCCTAGAGTACTATAAAAATTGAAGAATAACTAACTTTCATTACTTCAACATAGTGTTTTTAAGTTAAATAATCCCAAAAACTCTTAAGTTTTCAAGAAGATAGATCATGTTCACAAAAAACTCAAATTAACAAATTGAGCATATATCACAATACTCTTAAACTAATTAAGATTCATTTTTTCACAACAAAGTCTACATGTAAGCTCCACGAGACCCACATACAGACCTAAATCCAAAATATGCAAAATGGTCTAAAATTAAGAAAGAAGAAACTTACTTTATTCAATAGTTGTAAATAGATGGTGATTTTATGAGAATAAAGTTTAAATATTTAAAATTTTCTATTTATAATTATTTTTAGCTTAAACGATAAAACTTCAAATTTCCTATCATGATATAACTTTTACTCTTAACTCACTTAAACGAGAGCTCGTTACAGTCTTTATCCTCTATTAGAAATTTAATTATAATTTCTCTAAATAAAAATTTTCAATAAATTTTATTTTCATGTTTTTCTTATGTATAATTAATTTAAAATGTTTTATTTCTATCTTCTAATATCATCACCACCAACAAAAATCGTAGAAATAAATATAAATATGAAAAAAAATCACAATTTGATCCAATTAGAACAAATCTTAAATGGGATATGGAATACTTCCTTTCCCTACAATTGCATCCAATGATTTTGGGCATGGAGGACAAGTTTTTCAAAATTTCTAATGTATTTCATTCAGTTATTTAGAAATTATGGTAGCAACATTCATGATGAAATTCACCTAATTAAAAATGTGTGTAATTGTAATGGGGTCTTTCCTACGAGAATAATGGCTAAAGATATCTAGTTCATTCAAGAACATTATTACAAGTTAATTTGCATTTGCATTTATGAGTTGTTTGGTAGCTACCCTACTAATTTCATCATTAGGGAACAAGCATTTCAATATACAATAATTGTTTTTTAATATCCTACTTCAATTTCAAATACCTTAATTATATGTATTATTTTTGTGCAAGATAATAAGAAATCGCATGGTTAGATATTATATGATTTTGTTGGAGTTATCCATGCATGTGTTTGCAAGATAAATTAAGAAACATTAAAATAATTTTAATTATAAATAATTTATATTAAATTAATTTTTGTACAGGAAATAATGTGAGAAAACATTCACAACATTAATATTGATTATTTTGTCTTATTTTTTCAATGATAATTATAAAGGAATAAACTTTACCTCAACCTCTTCCCCTATAAGTAGACCCAGTAATAGAAGAGCAATTAAAATGAAGTTATCACGTGGCCGCAATTCCCCCACATATATTGTTTATAAAACCTTGTTACACAGGGTTTCTTTTCAAACATATTGATTCCATTGATATTTATGCAACATTCGAACTTACTTTTGAACTGTTTGGGCTATAATCCAAACTTTATTTAACAAGGTGGACATGCAACAGTATACCATTATAATCTTCACAATTATGAATTTTCATTATTATTATTTTAATTTTTTTTACATTATTGACTTATTAAAATTAAATTTTTAATTAATGTGAAATAAATAACCCCGCGTAGCTAGTTGATAAAAACAAATAATAGTGTCAACTGTTACCTATTAATTTTCTTTTAATGAATTAAGGCCACAACATTAATTATCACAACTATATTTTTTGTCCTAAGCCCTCAAACTCCTTCTTTATTACACTTATTTTATCCCTAAACGAACTTTTTCACCTTTTTCTCTCATCTTTTTATAGAAGCATGATCTTAATTGGAGTTTAAAGTTTTTTAAAAAGAAAGTTTATTTTCAAATAGTCTTTATCTTTCATTATAATTCTTTTATTTTTCTCATTCCATGAATAAGAATATAATAGGAAAAAAAATAATGTTTTTAGCAAAATTGTATGATGACAATTCAAATTGAATTTAAAACTTGGACAAAATGGGGGAAGTAAAATATAATCTTTTTCATATAGAAAATAAGGTGTGACAAATTTCTGTTACTCATAATTTCTGGACACATTGTCAATCATATGTCAAGTTCCAATGACATGCAATTCAAAATGAACAGCTGGAATCCAGATCCCCACCAATTCTAAATTATTTTGAGGTTTAAGTTAAAAAAAAAAAAAAAAAAACAACAACCTTTGCCTTACGAAAGTGATCCTCAGTGAGTTGCATGTTTTGATTAACATAATACGATAAAATTGGAATTCATAAATAAACTCTAAATTGATCCTCCTATATTTACAGCTTATATCTAAAAGGGTCATCCAAACTGTTAAGAATAAATTCATTATTAAAAGTAATATATTATAAAATTTATTACTAATATATATAATACATATAACTTATCTTGAAAAAGAGTAAAATATTTGTAAGAGGCTTAATTAGTTGTAACATAAATACAACGGAAGAAAGTAAAGGGTTTTGATGAGCTTTTAACGAAAGAAAATCTATTAGTAAAATATAAATTTGTTAATCATGGCAGAATGGGAACTTTCACACTATAGAAGTTTCAACAGCATGCAATGAAAGTGGGTATGGTATATTTATGGGGTCTTCTACGATCTTTAATCCTCCATTATGATCTGTGGAGTTACTGAAAATCCTCACCCTGGAACCTTTACCTTTTTGCTTTCGATCAATGAGCAGCTGTAGGGCTACACTTTCTCCTAGAAGACACTCCACTCTCCAATACTATTTCATCTAGGGTTTTCCCTACCTTCACTTTATTACTCCAATAAATAGATTTCCCTCCCAACAAAAACCAAGAGGACAATGACACCTCAACCCAGCGTTACTCAATCCAGACCAGGATGTTCTCCGAACAAAGCGTAGAATAAACAGACACAAACACACAAAGCAGAAAGAAAGAAAGAAAGGCCAAAAATAAAAAGAGTGCCACAACAGACGCCAACTTTCCTAGTTCCAAGGTCAACGCAGAAGCTATCATTATCTTGCAATTGAAAACAAGAAATTCACTTTACTCCGAGTATGTCGTTCTCACGAAACCCTTTCATTCCCAGTACACAAATTTAATGCAAACATAAAAACCAAAAATCAAGCACTGAAAAGCGCAACCGCATGCTTAAACACAGCACTGTCAACGATTTAGGATTATCGATAATTCCAAGTACTTCCCAACCCATGGTAGGGGCCAGAATACATATGTAGAGTTTTCTCCTACCAATCATAAAAACAAACCCTAAAAACCACATTCCCCAGTGAATGCGAGCGATTTATCTTTAGCTGAGGATGTAATCAACAACAAACATCTAAGTAAGATAGATATAGATTAAAACAAAATAACCTGAAAACAGACTTGACATGTTTTTCTATTTTTCTCCATCACTAAAACTAGTTAGCTTAACTACTCATAAGCATAAATTTTCAAAAGTTAAGCATTTTGCATCCTGGCTGCAAAGGAATTGAAAAGTTCTGGGTACTGAAGATAATCCTCCAAGTTGGAGCACCCTGCAATATGGTTCATCATAAACTGGTTGTCTCTCTCCATAGACGTCATAGACTGCATGGCGTTAAAACCACTTAGAGCTTCAAATTGCTGGATGGGAGAATCATAACAGACACCAAAACCTTCAACCTTGGGAACCCTCAACCTGGAATCAGCATAACCCTTGCTAGCAGAAACAACCATATGATCAAGTATAGGTTGAGGAACGGAATCAGGAAGAGGCAAAGTCGAAGTCTCCATTTTAGGCTTTGATTTCGGCAAGAACTTATAAACTATCTCTTCCAACAGCCCAGAATCCGAAGACTCCCGCAGGAAAAAGTCCGAGTCTTCTTCAGTAGCTTCAGCTACTTCAGCTCCATGATTAGCACTAACAGTGCTGTTATAGTTATTTGTGTTGCCAACACTGAAACCTTGGAGACAGTTAGTGGCAGCAGAAGAAGATAGAGATGAAGACGAAGAGTTGACATAACTCCCACTAGATTTATTATTATGAAACTGCTGAGAAGAAGATGAAGAAACCAGACATGGATTAGAAGAGTTGAGGAAGTCACGAAAGAGAAGCATGTTGAGAGAGGAAGAAGAAGCGTTATTTTGGGAACTTGCAGTGAAGTCACTCCCGAAGTTTGTGTTATGGGGGAACCTACTGATGTGGCAGTGTTTGGGTAGGTTGAAGGGATGGAATAGGTGAGGATCGGCTGCATCAGGATAGACAAAGTTGGTGCGGGCCTTGACACCGCGCATGGCACGGGCTGCACAGTCATAGGCACAGGCAGCCTCCTCCGCTGTGTCGAAGGTGCCGAGCCAGCGACGTTCCTTGGACTGTGGGTCACGGATCTCAGCAGCATAACGGCCCCATGGGCGGCGCCGCACCCCACGGTAGCGCATGGCGGTGCCGGAGTTGGAGGTGTCACGCAGGGTGCGCTTGGCGGCGCACTTCTTCGGGTGGGGGTCTGAAACTACGTCGGGTTCTTGAGTGGGAGCAACTCCGTTGAGACGGCGCAATGCTTCTTCCATGATGAGGTTGGATATGTGTATGAGAAAGGGATGCGTGTGACAGCCTTCTTTCTCTTTGAATTTGGAAAGACCTTGTTCTGTGCCTGCTGGTGTGCCTAGCTTTATTTATACTATTTTGACACAGGGTTGACCATTGGTTACTATCTCCCTCTTTCTAGATTTTCATTTCACTCCAATCCTGTAACTGTGAGCAAAACATTGATTAAGTTTAAAACGCTACTATATTACCTGTTTTTTATTTTTTTCTTTCATATTATATATAAAGTCAAAAATAATAAAACTAATTATCATATTTTTTAAATTACAAGAGGGAAAATTTATTGATTTTAATAATACATTATTATATTAAAATTGATTGAAAGTTTAATCATATCTATTTATATTTCTAATGGGACCAGTATATAGTTTTGAATGAAATCAGTATACTTCAATTTTAGTTTTACACACAAAATTCAAATTAACTATTTTTCATATTTAAATACAGTAATTCCTAGGGGAAAAGTAAATATTCAATGTGATTTTGAAAGTGGCAATGTCTAGGAATACTATGACTGCAAAGGTTGCGCAAAAAGTACTGTGTTGTAACCTAAAACCTTAGAAAGTGTAGAAACAATTACATATTTGTCTCTCTAGATTTTACTTAAGGGGTACGTATTTTTATTTTATAGCTATCTTTCTCACACTATCTTGCTTTTGAATTCTGGGGTGTATTAAAGTGCCTCTTACTAAGATAAGTGATGTTGGGGGATAATTTCTTATGAGATTAAATTGCAGGATAAAGAGTGTTTTGTACCAAATTTATTAATATGCTGCGCTGTTGAAGTGGTGTTGGTCGGTGATTATAAATAATACTTTTTTAAATCGGATCGGAATTACCTGTTGAACTAGAAATTGGGTTACATAAAACTGAATTCCCAAATAATTGGATTTTGATTAGATTAAAACAAAATCAAAAAAATCAGAACAATATAATAAAAAAAAATGGTGACATTTTTAATCAAACAGAATCGGTTTTTATAAAAAAAAATTATGATAAAAAAATTTAATATAATTTTTTATAAAATACATAATATATTTTAAATTTTTTATTCCATATTAATTATGATAAATTTTAAGTAATAATTATTTTATTATATTTTTATTTTATTTTAATAATTATTATATATTATTTCTATGATTTACATTGTAAAATTATAATAATCTTTATCATTATTTAAAATATTAATACTAATAAATTTATTACTATTTATTATATTATAAAAATATTATTTTATTAAATTTAGTGGCTGAATCCATATATCTGATTGATTTGATGACCCAAACTTTAAATATATTAATAAATAAGAATAAAATAGATTTATAAGTTTGGTTTATTTTTATATAAGGTAAATTTGTCAAAAGAAAAATATATAATAAAAAACTTGGCAGATTGATGAGAAATTTTTGGTCAAAAATAATTTGTCCTAATAATTTGTTTTATCATTTATTTTTATTTTTTTATTTGATGTTTTTATTTAATAATTAAATTAATAAATAATATTTTTAATTATTTAAATACCGATTTTTAAAATTTTTCTAAATAAATATTTATATTTGAAAAATAACTACAAATGTAATTTTGATACTACACTTAAGAATTAACTAATAATTTTTATTGATAAATAAATCAATGATATATGTATGTGTGAATTTTTTATTTATCCACTTTTCTAAATAAATAAAGTTATGGGTAGTGAATGTTTTATTTTTTCCTAAAGTTCAGAGATAATTACCGCAAATAATGACCAATGCTAAAGTTACACTACAAGTTAGATGAAGAATCCTGCAAACTATGCATGCATGGCATGATGATAACCTCTTCTCTGTCTGTCCTTCATCCAGTGTTCCATGAAGCAGGCATGGACATACATACATAGCTTAGCTTTATTAGATCTGACTTTTCAAAACTTTATACCCTGTGAACTTTGTGCTTATTCAGAGTGTTTCCAGACAAACCATGCAGCTATATATGTTCCTACAATTACAAAGACTTTTGGATGTCCCTTGTGACGTGCTTTGCCAAGTCTAATTAAACTCAAATTTTCCGTGTTATAATCCCCATACAGACAAAAAGTAAGAAACTTCTCAAATTGTTTCATGTAAAACCATTTTCAACAGTAGTTTATACAGTACATAAATTAATTTAATGGTAATCAATAATCATAATTTTTTTTATTGAACCATTTATAAAGGACCTTAATCTTTGGCTATCCATGTCAATCTTACTGACATGGTAATGGAGGTATTATTGTTGTGACTTGTTGACAGCTTGCTAGAGCAAGCATGACAGTAGAAGTAATTGTCTTCGGCTATTTCCAAGAGTACGTACGCAGGAAATTATTTATGCAATCGTGGGAGAAGGAAGGTAATGAAACATTACCAATTTTGGGTTGTGGAAAGTTGTTTTTTTGGTGGTTGAAAGCTGTGTAATAAAGTTATGAGTTTCGGATTGGAGTCACTATGGGATTTAGTATCTTTGCATGTTTTCTTTTTACTCTTTTTTATCCATCTGCATGAGCATTTTTAAGAATTAGAAAAATACTATAAACCTGCTAAAGAAGAAATGCATATTAAATTTATTTTTGCAAAGTTGTGGTTGAATTTGGATGGAAGTCAAAAAGGGTTTTAGGATCTTTGCACATTTTCCTATTTACTCTATTACGTGCACTCTCCGTGAGCATTTTAAGATTTGGGAAAATACTAAAAAACTGATAAGATGAAATGCACATTAAATTTATTTTCAGGGTGTGGATCCATAGTTCTCCACCCAACATGTAATAAATAGTGAAGATTTTCCAGCAGAGGGTTGATAAAGCTGCTTTTAGGTTGCAGCATGTTTTAGTTTTAAAAATGTAGAAATTTATGGGAAGTTGGAGAGATTCTGGTCCCTTGTGATTATCATTTTGAATGATTACACTGGCGGCGCTCAGAAATTGTTCCTCCCACTTTGGTTTCGTAGGCACTACTTTTCACTGATGGTTTTCCTTTTCAGTTAATTTTGATTATGCATGTGTTCATACATTTTGCTTATGTTGCTTTTAAGCGATGCGAGGGTGGAAACCAAGGATTTAAAGATCACATGGACTTGTCTGATTATGTAGGGATGAGTTTAAGAGGGTGAAAGATTAGGTCCTGTTGGAAGCTAGAAAGTGGGTAATATAGGTTGTTAGTGGTTGTACTCTTGAGTCAGACAAAGGGTTGGAGGGAAGCTGAAATACAAGAGTTTAGGGTATATGCCTTCGTCTTCTCCACACCCACGTCCCTTCAAATTCTCATTGCTTAACTTATCCTTACAACTATGGTCTCTTTCATCGCATGCCCCATGAAAATATTTATTTTTTATTTTTACAATCTAAGGTCTTTTATTAAGGGAATGTTATTCCTATTTCGGCTTTTTTACATAACTGGTTAAAAAAAATCTAATTTAACGTAATAGAGTACAATTAAAAAAATTGATGAAAATTAACTTCTTTAGGTTAGAAAAGGAATGAATATGCAACTTTAATTAATAATTATATTTTTAAAAGAGTTTAAGTTATCACAAATTCATAGAGGGAGACATTGAAATACGTTGTTAATGATACTTTTAAATATATTTAGATATGTATGGGTTAGAAGAAAGAAATAAAGAATAAATAAGTTGAGAAAATTTATGTACATACTTAAATATAATAATATTTTTAAATAATAGATTAAATAACTTTAAGTTGTTATAATTTATTTAATTTAGGTTATCACTTTTATAAATTACTGTAATTCAACTTTTAATTACCAAGTAAACCTTTATCGCAATCCGCAATTCTTTTTTAAAATAGAATCCTAATATTAATGAACATTTCTTATTGACTAAATTGTCAATGGAACTGTGTATCTGAACATTATTCTATATACCCAATGCAGCAATTATTAAAACCCACACTAGCTTAACTTATCTACAAAGTAATTAACTAACTTATTTTACCTTTTATCACAATATAATTATTATAAAATTGTTATTTTTTCTTTCTCTAAGTGTCATTTATTACTATAAACGTTCATGTATTATTCAAAAATATATAATAATTAATTATACTGTCACACAAGAGTAACACATTCTAACTTATAAACTGCATAATCAAGTTGGCTTAATAGTTATGAATTAGCCAAATTTTGATATCATAATTGGTTACAGGTAATCCATAACAAGTTAAAATTATTGATTTTAAGTTACATAATCTATTACCAAATAAATAGCATAGATGAGTATAAGCAACGCATGAATGATAATTGATTATAAAATGGTCGTAATTATAAATGTAGACTGTTTTCACTCGAAAAGTCATAGAAGCTCCCCATGCGCAACAGCAGAAACACGCTTTCTGTGTCATTTGATACGAAACTTTGAGTGTGAAGGATTTGTAGAAATGGATTTGGCAACAACATCCTTTTAACCGGTCATTTTGAGGTGCAGTGATAAAACCAGTATCGAGTGGCCACTCAGCAACCCCATCACGTTGCTTCCTTTGCTTGTCATGACAATGGAAACCTTTTCGCACCAAAACACCATCTAAACGGATCAGGAAAAGGAATTAAAAATGACGGTTATCTGGTACTACACACCAGATGCTGCAGCAGAAACAAGGATATTTCTATCAACATAACATGCACAACAAATCTAAACTCAGAGACAACAAGATCCATATCAAACCACCTTTTTAACCGCTTGGTTTCGAGAGGTGGAGACAACAACCACACACCTTCTAACCTTGATGGGAATAAACACTAATTTAACATCCTTCGTTTCCTAATTAAGGTTGCTTTAATATTTCTGCGATGATATTATATTAATGTATAATATTTATATCTCTGAGACTGAAAACTTATGTTCTTATTAAGAATTCAAATTCAGTTTTACTCCTATTAAAGCATGTTTTGAAGTTGAGTATAATTAAGTGGCTGTTTTTTTTTTTTTTTACTGGAAT